TCCTGTACATGAGACCCAATGCCTCTCGCTCAGCTGAACAAGACAAGATGTCCTCTGTATTTTGTACCATTGTCACCCCAGTGCTGAATCCACTCATCTACAGCCTGAGGAACAGGGATGTCTTGGGAGCCCTAAGAAAGCTGGTTGGGAAATGCAGAGTCCTCCAGCAAAATTGACAGGACTTGGTACTAGATGGTGTCAAAGTTGACAAAGGTGCCGGCTGGTTTTGGGGAACATTTCCTAGGTGACTCCATTGTAAGAAACAGCTTGCGGCAGTCGGTGTTTCCTTCCGGGTCTCTCCCCCGGCAGCTCCCTCCACAGAGTTGCTTTCCTTCGGTCCGGTCTCCCTCGCTTCCTCAGCACCGCCAGCTCTCCCAGCTGTCTTGCTGCTGGAGTCAGTCTTGCCCGGTTTCCTGTGTCCCCTTGTGCTTGGCCCGTTTCTTCTTTTATCCTGGGGTTTCGGCTGACTCCCCTCCCCTCCTGCAGTGCTCTTTGCAATACAGGAGGGGCCATTTTACTTCTATGGGGCTCTTCTCTCTCCTCACACTGACCCGGGCCATGGGTCGGACCGTACGTGCCCCGCTTCTAGCCCCCAATTTCCGACCTGTTTCTGAGTGACTGGTTCTGGTCCCTGGCCACGGCCCTAAGCGTGAAGGCTGACTGCCCGTGTCCTGGGTACTGAGATCTTTTAAAGACGGATGGGCATTAGTGTATCCAAGGCCTGAATGTGTCAGACACTTCACAAAAGCACATCAAATTATGCTGTGATCCAGAAAGCATGAGCACTCAAAAGGGTGGAGACATGTATGGACTGATGGACAACAACGTGGAGAACAAAAATCGAGTTAATGTTCATAATCATTTCATGTAATCATGTGGCCTGGCCCGTACAGCAGCTGTGCACCACGATATGGCCCATGCGATCCCTGAAATGTGTGGACATAGGAGGATGCAGGAATTTGAAAAGAGGGGTGTGGGTGATTACAGTTGTGTCCCGTCCCCTACCAAGGGCAGACGTCAGCATGACAGTGGAGGCAGATTGAGAGCTTTCTGCTGTCCTTTGGTTGACTTCATCCTCAGGACCATGGAGAGGATGCGAGCGTAGGACGCTAGTGTGATGGAAGAAGGGATGAGGAGCAGCACAATTACAGTCACATACAGCACAGTCTCATACTGGGAGGTGTCAGAGCAGGACAGTTTCAGCAGGGATTGGATTTCACAAGTGAATTGGTCGATATATTTGGAACCACAGTAGGGCAGGTGCATGGTGTAAACTGAATGGTTCAAGGCATCTGCAGCTGCCCCAACCCAGACCCCAGCTGCCAGCCCCAGGCAGACTCTCCTGCTCAGCAAGACGGGGTATTGCAAGGGTTTGCAAATAGCTACGTACCTGTCGTAAGCCATGACTGCCAGAAGGAGGCACTCTGCTCCACCCATTGTCAGTGTGAGGAAAATCTGAGCCCCACAGCCAGCTGGAGAAATGGGGTTGCCTGGGGACATTTTGGGGACTTCAATCAGGGTCTGACAGATGTCCATGAAGGCCAGTTGACTGAGGAAGAAGTACATGGGGGTGTGAAGGGAGGAATCCACCTGGATTAGTATGAGGAGGAGACTATTTCCAGACATGGCAGTAACCAAGGCAAGCAAAATGATGGCAAGGACGAAAGTGTGAGCTCTGGTGTGGTGCAGGAGTCCCAGCAGAACAAATTCTGTTGGTGAACTTGTATTGTGTGTCTCCATGGCCTCTTCATGTGGCTGGGCCTGAAGCGGTGGGGAAGAACAAGGCTCAGTGGGATATGCACGCCCTTTCTACTGGGTAACGCTAATGGGATCTGCAGCAGTCTCTGGGTTGCCCCTCCTGTGAAAGAAATCCGCAGCCCTGTCTCTCTCCGCGCCAAAAAAAACTGGCTCAGTTGCCAGGGTGCAGATGGGACTAGGGTCAGGATCCAGACACAGGGTAGCATGAGGGCCACCACAGGGTCTGGACAATATTCAGCACCCAGTGGTTGTCTGTGGCCTGCACTGCCCTTGGCAGGCCCATAGTTTGCTCCTGTAAGGGTTCCCCCCACTAGTACTCCAGGGCCAGGAGCTGCACCCAGACTGCCCAGTCTGCCTGTCACAGGCCAGCTGGGCACTGTGGG